TTGCTTTGATATCCTAGTCAGTTCTGTCCACCTATAGTTGAAAATATGCTTCCTACCTACCTAGGTATGTATGTAGGTAGGTAGGCAGGTATGTATGTATGTATGTATGTATGTATGTAGGTATGTAGGTAGGTAGGTAGGTAGGTAGGTAGGTAGGTAGGTAGGTAGAGGAGGTTGCTTCTCTCAGATTCCCCCATTTATGCTGGCTGTTGATGCGACCCAGAAGTCTTCATCACCTCTGTTTTCTCTATGTTCCCCTGAAGTGAAGTCTTATCTTTGATGCTTCTTCTGCCAACTTGTTGCTTTTCACTTGCATGTCTTCCAGTTTGTGGGAAATCAGACATATATCATCGGCGAAGTCCATATTCACCAAACTTTTTGTGTGGGTTCATTTTATGCCTGTTTTCTCGCTCCTTGCCTCTGTCTGTCACAATATCCAGTCTACCGTAATCAGGAAAATCATTGGAGATAGTAGGCAGCTTTGTCTTATTCCCTCGTTTTATTCTCATTACATTTAAAATATATGTGAGAATACGAGGAAATCACACTTCTAGTGGTATGGAATTAGAACTTTACAAATAATGGTACTCACTTTTTTTTTCAAAAAGTCACTTAACCAGCTAATCAATCAATTTTAAATGAACACTTTAAATAACCTTAAGAACTTCATGTTACTTATAGTTCATAATGGGGGTATTTTTTTCCCTAGGATTTTGAAGTTACTGTAGCAACTAAATAAGGATTGCTAGCTAAGCGCACGCACACCCCACACTCCAAAACTTCTTTCTTTCTCTAACTATTAAATTAACTAGAAAGTTGAAAAAGCAACAACGACTACAGTATGTGTCCGAGGGTGAAATGTAGGCGATCATGTGATGGGAAAATAAAAATTTGTAAGCAATCGTAGTGCTAGCCAGTAAAAGGCATTAGAGAATGGGATGAAAGCTCTGTGTTCCTTCCACCCAGAGGGGTTCATAATGATAATGTTCAACACTGAGGGATTCGAACTCAGAATCCATCATAGGAAAATGTCAACACAAAGCACAAAAATTTCATATCTCAATATAATCACAAATAATGGGGAAATTGAAATCATAATTTTTCACATTTTCGCCATTAAAATACCCTTTTTGTCAAAAACTACAATGTATTAGGGAAACATCAGTACAATCAACAACAGAACACCCCATCTAAAGAATACAGTAAAATCAGAACATTCATTGCAATAGAGGTGGACCGTCTTTTCACAAACACTCCAATTTTATATTTGAGCAAATAAAGAGATTTCGACCGAGTTAAACTTTCGACACCACTAACTACCAATCAGCGAACGACATCGAATTATCCAATGAGATTCACGAACGTAGTTCAATGTTGTATAGCGCTTGATTCATTTCTAATGCGTGTCCTTACAAGGTTACGGTTGCAATTCGAGGAGGATAGTATTTTCCAGTACTGTCTGGATTTAGGGTTGCTCCGGAAGGAGCGAACTTGTTCGTGTGGTGGTATCATGACTCTAAAAAGCCATAGCAGGTCAACTGATGGATTTGTTCATCGTTGTGCTATATGATTGAAGCTTGCTGGCACTAAAGAGGGTAAGCTTTCGCTAGGTTACACCTCTCCCTAACCCAGATTTTGTATATCTGCAACTTCTGGGTGTTGAAACAGCCGGTGAGAGCAGCAGCTGCCGAGACGGAGAATAGCCACATCTCAACAAATTAGTGGTACCAGCATTGCAGATATTGCTTCATGGAAAATAGAGAAAATCATTTGTTTGCTGGGTGGAGAAGACGTTGTCATGCATGTCGATGAAACTGTGTTGGTGAAAAAGAAATACAACCGTGGTCGCCAGCGAGCAAACAATATTTGGGTATTAGGTTTATACGACACCCCCCTTGAAAAAGGATTCCTCAAACGGATAGCTGACAGAAAAGCAACCACTTTATTACCTATTATAACGAGACTTGTTAAACAGGGGTCAATTATACACATGGACGAGTGGAAGGTTATAATTCGCTGTCATCTCTGGGGTATATTCATCACAGAGTGAACCATTCAAGTGATTTTGTGGATCCTGTTACGAGGACTCACAGGAATTCCACTGAAGGGTTTTGGCGCCACTTTAAAAACAGGATAAGGGCTATAAATGGATCTCAAAAGGATCTCATTTATTGTCATTTAAATGAATATATGTACAGGATTTGGTGCGACTTCTCCATTGACAGTCCGATGCTAAACTGGGAGATGTTTCTCTCACATGTTCGAGAAAGATACCCCTTGTAACTGTTTTATCCTTTTTTCTATAAATATACGTTTCCATTTAACATAAATGCCTCTTTAATGTGATTGGTCCGTTCAAGGTCGTTTGCTGATTGGTTGTTAGTGGTGTCGAAAGTTTAACTTTGCCAAGATTTTTATCGAATTCTGCCTCCAGTATATGTGTATACACCAGTTTGACTACTCCTACGGAACTAATCACATATTGGATGCACAATTAAGAGGTGTGCTCATCGTCAGACTTCCCAACATCATCCTTCATGACTAAGCAAGCAATAAACAAAGTCTTTTTATAGCTGCTATTTTTTTTATAACTGAATTGAATTGAATAGACCCGTTGCTATATTGTTATGTCTGCGCTTGTGTAATACCGTAACGACGGAAGACAAGGGCCATGAAACAGATCGTTTATTGAGAAAAACAATAGATACTTGTAGATTTTTTTGTACATTACTGTTATTAGCGTTATTGTTAGCAGAGAAGCAACGTCATCTCATTGGTTGTTTTCTCGCTGAAGGTTATTTTGTACTGCTTGTGATCGTTGCTTACAAAGTTAAGCCATATATCTGCGAATCGTATTTGCACACGTTAAGTCTGCTCTGAGTACCTCAAGGTTAAGTTTTGTTATTGGTTTTATTTTTCTCATGATCCCGATTTGGGACGTAGATATTAACGTAAATTGGTGTCTACCAATTTTGGCTAGCGGACAGCTCTCACCACAATATTACTCAACTTAGTATTATTATTCCTTTGGAACTTGTGTCAAACATACGGTTCCAAGAGCACATCTATATTGCATTGTGTACTCTGCAGTTTTACTTTTTTCTGGCTGTCTGCTCTACGACTACCCATAAGCCTTCATTTCTTCCTCCCCCTCCTCCACACGCACACACCCAACTCGTCGTTTCTGACTCGGGTTCCGATCGGGAGCTTGCTTAGTGTGTGATGTCAGTCGATGGTCTGCTCAGCACATGTCCAATTCATTTCTATTCCCTTCCCTGTATTTGTTAGACAGTAGGTTCTTGGATGGCTTGCTGACAAAGTGATTCCTTGTTACATACACACAGCCTTTCTCTCCCATCATTTGACGTTCATCAGTATTAGGCTAGCTCAAGGCCGCTGTTGATGAAATTCTGCTGTAGCTTGTTGGAAATACGTCTCATAATGCGTGAACCAAGTCTTTAGTTAATTAACTAATCAATTATCTAGTCAGTTAGTTGGAGTATGATTCCAAAGAAGGGACATACTAGCTGAAAATCCAGTGCTTAAATTCATGAACCATATCTTCATGGTGTATGCCTTTTCCACAGCGATTCCTCTGAGAGCTTACGGTGAATTGTTATCTGAACTGGTGACAACTAGTGGTGTTCCATTAGAGGGGATGCCCACTATCCCCATTTCAATTCAATTTCATCATTGATGTACTAATGGAATTCACCCTAACTTACTTTAGTGACTCAGGAATTGACTTGTTACCGTCGGGAAATAATCTCGTTGACTAAGAATATGCAGATGATATAATCCTCCCACATGGATGAAGACACTGACAAAATAGAAAAGAGTCTTCTGAACACCTTGAGCTGCAATCTACGGTTGTCTGACACGCGATTCGCTCCCGCCAAACATAAGATGGTGCTACAGGACTGAACTACATTAACTCGTAGCTTAGAAATACAGGATGAAGTGGAAAAATGTGCTGACCACTTTACATATTTGGGTGTTGTATCAGCCAGCCCCGACAGCTTAACTGATCTCTGACGAAATCTCATTTAGCATTTATGAGCCGATTTACGCCTTCTCTGGCTTAGTAGATGTGATATCCGGTTAACTGTCAACCAAAGGATGTGTATACTGCTCAACAGTACTCTCCGTACTCCTTTACGGCTGTGAGCGAAATATGCCCGTTGAGAGTGGAAGACATGAAAAGACTAGCTATCTTTGATCATAGGTGCCTGTATTCTATATCCCATGTGAAGTGGTATAATAAGATGAGCAATATTGAGGTTAGTGGTTGGTCGAGTGCTAGGTAAGGAGGGTGGGGAAAATCAATCGACGAGGCTATGAAGTTACACCGATTGAGATGGTTAGGACATGTGTTACGCATGAATGTATGGTCACCACCTTCCTCGGGATGCTGAGAACCAATGGAGACTGGAGACAGTCGGTGATATGGCTCAAAATCTTTGTCAATGTCTGGTGAAGATGCATCCACTCCTTGTGACTTATAATACCCAATAAAACTATATTGTTCTTCGACATTACTATTCTTTTACTCTCATATCTCTGTTTACCGTCTCTATTTTGCATTTCTTCTTACTTTCTCCTCTTGCTTTGTGTGGTACATGGAGGAAATGTGGTGACTGGAACTGCTGTACATCGGTGCAAAGTTCTATGTTAAAACAGACCGACAAACAGACAGACAGCAATTCCTCTAAATTCATACTTTTCTAGTCTGTTCTTCTTTTTGAATAAATATCATGCCCACTCCTTTATTATGTATCCTCTCCTCTAGAAACTCAATTCTGTGATTATCGTGTCACTTTTTTTCAGCAAGTGTTATCATACTACTTATATCCATAACCCACAAAATTAGATCATAATGATGTGAAATAGCATTTACATGATTATCTATAAGAGAAATAATACGAAAACCAAACCAAAAGATATTGTACATATGAATGAATGAATGAATAATGAATCTGCGCGACAATCAAAATACTCACTTGAATTTGTACGCAACCACATCAAGATAAATTGCCAAGGTTCGCAGAAAATAGACGGTGGTACGGGTTTAGAGATAACAGGAAGTCTGAGTTTTCGCTTCGCTATATGTGGATATACTATAGAAAAAAACAAACTGAGGAAATTCAAGATTTGGTTTGTAGAGATCTGGTTAATTAGTTACAGGATTTCATCATGAGTGTTGACATTAGTTAGAGAACCATAGGAAAACCGTCTGGGAGTACTGCCAGAGAGCTGTCTCGTCCTACTTTTGGGACTATCCAGAAGTACGCATCCACTACAGTGGAGTTCGAACCCAGGACCTTCTGGCTACAAGGCTAGCGAGCTCGTATACCATTAAGCCACTTGAGACCCAATCCAACTGCCCATGAATTATAACTTCTGCTAGGGGTCGCGCTATGTAGTGAACTGGCAGGAGTTAGAATTCATGGACTGGCCGTTTGATCAGATCCCAGTAGCTTAATCGTATACAACCTCGCCTTGTAACCAGAAGAGGTCCTGGGTTCGAAACCCGTAGGGTGCGTACTGGTGAAGAGTCCCAAACTAGGCTGACGAAACAGCTATCCAGTACTCCCTGCAGGTTTTCCAATGGTTCTCTAGCCAATGTCAGCTCATGATGAAATCCTGTAAACAGAGGAAACAAGAGTAAAAATGATTGTCAATCTCTATGCATCGAATTCGCAATTTGCTGCAAGTGACACATTTCAAGGTAAAATTTCAGTACACAGTTCGCTTGCGTTTTATATTGGAAAGTGAAATTATTTACAATATGATAAGATGGAGAAGACTTGTAGATTTTGATGTAGTTGTGTTCTCTTAGCTGAGTGGATGGTTTATTTGTGAAGCTGTCGTTGCCCCCCCCCCTCTCTAAGAGACAACATCCTCACTTCAGCGTATACTTCAATCTGTTGAAATGAGCTTTTAGATATTTCCCCACGAGTTTATTATTCATCACTCCTGGTGAGTGACTTTGGATGTTGTGATTGGTCGTTTTTGTGAGTTTTCACACCCTTTAGACTACTGGTATTAGTACTGATTGTTTTCTTGACTTGAACTTTGACCCTTTGTATGTGAGATTTCCTTCTAATCGGTTGGTAAATTTTGTTTACAACACTGTGTCTATTAATTGATGATTCACTGGAATACCATGCAGCCTTCTCAAGATTCTTTAGAATTTTTGGTGTTTTATTTGTCTAATATTAGAACGTTGGTTGTCCCAGTGGAATCGAAGTCCGTGGTTGTCTGTATGTAGCGATATGAAGGAGTTGACATCCCCTTCGTCTTCGTATCCATAAACATCAACTAGCCATCAAAAGACATGATATATACTCTCTCGCCCATATCGCTGCCTACAGAGAACCACTGACATCAATTCGACTGAAACAACGTTCAAAACAAGAATGTTAGAGAATTTTTAGCAGCCTGGTCTGGTATTCCATTGAATCATCGATCAATAGACACATCGAGATACACAAAATTTATCAGCCTACAAGAAACAAACCTCACACACAAAGTCAAAGGACAAGTCAAAGAAACTATCAGTTCCAATACAAGTAACCTAGAAGGTGTAAAAACACACAAAAACAACCAATCACGTCCAAGGTCACCGACCAGGAGAGATGACTAATAAACTTAAAGAGAAATCTAAAAGCTCACTTCAGTAAATTGAAGTATACGCTGAAGATGTCGCCTGGTAGGGCGATGAAAGCTTCGCAAATAAACCATCCACCCAGCTAAGAGAACACAACTACACCAAAAGCATTCACCTGAGTTACAAATCTTCTCTATCACTTTCGACTATATACAGTCTACTGCTTCCCTATAATAAAATTGAGAATGCAATCATTTGCTAATCCAACATTACGCTTGTATCACAACAATCTAGTTTAATTTCTTTTACCTAGCAACATACATGGGCGAAGTTCAACAAATGGCGTTCCAGTAGTGCGAACGCTCCAATGACCTTGAATGTATGCTAGTCGTTGGCTAACGGCACTTGTCATTATCATAACTATTTTTTTGATTTTTGATTTACAACTTGATTCCACACTGTATTTTTGGTACAAGTATGGAATATTCAGCATGGATATCGGTAGCCCAAATTTTTCAGGCCGACCATAGATATCAGGTGTGCGTCGGCGTGGGCTCGAACCCCGGACCATGTGCATGGTCGGCGAGAGTCCTAACCACTGTGCCACCGACGCACAGGGACGAGTGTGGTGAGAGCAGGCTGCTAGCCGATTGGTTGACACTAATCTACGTTAATGTCTAGGTCACTAATATGGGCCGTGAGAAAATATGAACAAGGCTGTTTCAAAAACCAATCACAGCAAACTTAAATGTGGACAAATATGATTCGCAGATAGATAGCTCTACTTTCCCAGAAATATCGAAAACAACCAATCATAAGACTGTGTTTGTCTGCTTAACTTCCGAGAAACAACCAATCAGAAAACTGCCTTTTTCTGCTTGCATAAGCCTTATTAATGCATATAAAATATATATAAATACGTGTTGATTTTCGTAATAAAACGATCTGTTGCCAGTCCTTGTCTTCTGTTGTTACTAAAATATCAACGCTATCTACCAACTAAGATGCAAACAGATCACGTTTTTTAAGTACTGTTTCGACAATGTGTTTAATAGGTCTTTATGGTTAGCATTAGGGTTAAGCTAAGTTATTGGGGTTAGGTTGAGGATCAGGGTCATAATTAGGAATAAGATAAGGTTGACGGTTAGCATAAGGGTTGTAATTAAGGTTAGTGTTAAGTTTAGGGTTAGTGTCAGGACTATTTTTATTTATTTATTTTATTTTTGATTACAGCTTGATTCCACACTGTATTTTTTGGTACAAGGATGAAATTTTCAGTATGTGATGTCGGTAGTCCAAATTTTGCAGGCCAACCATAGATATTAGGTGTGCTTCGGCAGGGGATCGAACCCAGACCATGTGCATGGTCGGCGAGAGTCCTCTAACCACTGTGCCACCGACGCACACAAAGGTTACGATTAGGGATTCAGATTTAGAGTTGATGTCATTTATTTTAATTTTTTGTTTTATTATCCACATTTTCCTGGTAAGTGGTCGTCGATCCTCTCACTGAAAATCATGGTAATTCAACCTAGGGCTTTTGAAGAAACTCAGTCATTGCAAGGCATTTTGTAAATTATTTAACTTTGTCTAATTAGGCCGATCTACAAGGTCCCTTAACTGTAAATGTTATTATTTTCTTTAATTGGGACAACATACAGTGTCCTTCAACCTACAAAGCTTGTCTCTTATTGTGACGTCAACCACATAAGTCAAACTAGTACGTCAGGGGTAGTCAGATTGTCAGTCAGAACAGAATTTAGCTAAGGTAAGAATGGTTGACCCCACCCGCGAAGATGAGTAATTTAGAAAAAGGCTCAGCGATTGCACTTCACGCATTAACACACAACCACACAATACGGTGAGTGGGAGAGGGTTAAAATTCTAAGAAGTAATATAGTTAGGTGGAGACAGAGATAGATAGAGAGAGATACTGATTACTGAATCCTGTCTGCTTCATCGAGTCTAGGACGAAGCAGCTGTCCAGTACTCACAGGTTTTCCAAGGGTTCCCTAAGCAATGTCAACTCATAATGAAATCCTCCCACAAAAATCGGTGGCACAGTGGTTAGGACTCTCGCCAACTATGCACATGGTCCGGGATTCGAGCCCACGCCGACGCACACCTGATATCTATGGTCGGCCTGAAAAATTTGGGCTACCGATATCCATGCTGAAAATTCCATACTTGTACCAAAAATACAGTGTGGATCAAGCTGTAAATAAAATAAATAAATAAAATATCCTACAAAACCAATACTTCAAAATTAATCTGATGGTCAATAGCGACTGGCCCTATATTCAGGTAGTTGGAAACCGTGACGTCTAAGGTACAGCAGGTTGAAGTTGAGGCATTAGGGATTTAGATTTAGAGTTGATGTCATTTATTCTGATTTGCTTTATTATTCACATTTCCTGGTAAGTGGTCATCGATCCTCTTACTGAAAATAATTCAACGTAGGGCTTTTGAAAAAGACTTCAAAACAGGATAAGAGAAATAAACGATTCACAAAAAACAGTCCATCTTTTGTCACCTCGGTGAATACATGTACGGAAACTAGTCTAAATTGGCAACTGATAATCCGCATTATAAATGAGACGTATTTTTAAGTCATTTCAGAGAGAGACAAATACCCTGTTTTATGTGTTTTCATGCATTTTCTTGTAAGTAAATATACGTCATTTTTTGTACAAAAATTCCACATTTTTATGATTGGTCGACTCAAGGTCACTCGTGCGTTGTTTTTATTTGATATTCAATATATAATCCTGTGAACTTATTATTAAAGGAGACAAAAGAAAATTGAATATTCTAGAAGATTGGAGGTTGATTCAGATGGAAGTACACAATACACTGTCACATGATACAGATGTTGGTTATTGCTTTACTCGAAGTTTCTATACGAAGAGTGTGATAATCCCAATAGATCGATAGATAGATGGATAGACAGACAGACAGAAATTAAAACAGCCCACGTATCATATATGACGTGACCTTGTCTGTCGTGTTAACCATGTGATTGTTGGTTGGTTGTCTTAACGACCTTGTATAACTATTGTACTCTATTCTCTTTTATGTATGCGTGTATGCTTGTGTATACCAATGTGTGTGTCATTAATCATTTTGTGCCATACCTCAATACTGGTCGAAACATGTAAATTTTTATGTTTAGATGTCATCTGTTTGCGTTTGATAATGGCAAATGAAGAACTGTAGGCAAATTTAATCATACAGAATAATAGTAGTGTATAATTTGTAATTATTACGCTGAGAACTCTGTACTTTTTTGAAACGTCTCGAAAAAAGCTATAATTATTCTTAGTTTGTAGGGATTTCATTTATTACAAGTTTGTAGATGTGTAAAGAACTCGAACTTAGCACAAAAAGCCACTTGAGGACATAATGTTGGGAGTGCAGATTTGTCTGACTTCTACAATATTCAAATTCCAAAGGAAAATATAGAAACAAACTGAAGGAGTTGCCATGGGATCACCAATATCCCTAGTT